CCCTCCCCCCCTTGACACAAACCACTCACCTACCTTCCCCTCCCTCCCCCTTCCCCTCCCCTATCCCCCCTCCCTTCCCCCTATCCCCCTTCCCCCCTTGACACAAACCACTCACCTACCTTCCCCTCCCCCTTCCCCCATTTCCCCCTCCCCCTATCCCCCTCCCTCTCCCTCCCCCTTTCCCCCTATCCCCCCCAATCGCCTTTGACACAAAACCACTCACCTCTCTTCCCCTTCAACAGGTGATCAAGCGCCTAGGTGAAAGCAGGGCAGGCGAGGTCAAGGTAACGCAGGGACGGAGCAAAGCAGGTGACTCCCCTATCTTCTTCATCAAGCTGCCTCCTTCACCTTACTACTTCAGGCCCAATACCGTGCCGTCTCCTTCGCATAGTCTGGAGAAGGTGAGTCAAGGGGGGGGGGGGGATGGTGGGGAGGAGGGGGGGAGGGATGGTGGGAGGAAGGGATGGGGGAGGAGAGGGGAAAGGTTAGGGGATAGGGGGATGAAGGGGAATTGAGGGGATGGTTGGGAGGGGGGGAAGTGTTGGGGATGATGGGGGGGGAGGGTTGGGGAAAATTTGGCAGATGAGGAGATGGTGGGGATGGTTGGGGAAGGGTTGAGGATGGCGGGGGAGGGGGGAGGGGGGAAGAGTTGTGGGAAAGGTTGGGGATGGGTGGGTGGGGGAAGGGGGTGGTGGTGGGGAAGGTTGGGGAAAAGTTGGGAGTGAGGGTGGGGATAGTGGAGGGAGGGGGAAAGGATAGGGGAAGGGTTAGAGGGAAGGTTGGGGTATGGGGGTGTCGTGGGGAAAGGTTGGGGATGATGGTGAGAGAAGAGTTGGGGATGGTGGGGGGAGGGAAACGGTCGGTGATAAGGGTATAGTGGGGATAGTTGGGGAAGGGAGAAGGGTGGGTAGGTTATGATTGCTGGGAAATGTTGGGGGTGAGTAATAGGGGAAGTTTGAGGGTAAAGTTGGGGTGATGGTTGGGGATGAGAGTATGGTGGGGATAGTTGGGGAAGGATTGAGGATGGCTGGGGAGGGGAGGGGGGGAGAGTTAGGGGAAGATTTGGGAAGGGGAGATGATGGGGGAGAGTTGGAGAGGAGGAGGATAGAAAAAGTTGGGGAAAAGTTGGGGAAAAGGTTGGCGGTGGAAATAGTGGGGGGGAAAGTTGGGGGGAGGGGGGGTTGGGGGATGGGAAGGGAGGAATTCTAATGCTCTGATGCGTTGATAGATATATATGTAAGCAGATAGATGATTTTACATATAAAGTAGCCATGACCGAAACGGAGTGTGTGTGTATATATCTGAGTGTATGCGTGTATGTGTGTATGTATGTGTGTGTGCGTGTATGTGTGTGTGTGTGTATGTGTGTGTGTTTATTGTACACACAGAAAAAAAAACACATAGACACACACACGTACACACACGCACACGCACGCGCACATATACTCCGCACGATCACACACACGTGTATATGCCAAAAAAAGGTGTACAAAACACACACACATCTAAACCATTCACTTTTTTTTCATCTCTATCACGTAATCGCACTAGCTAAATAAGTCTCAAGTAACCACAATTCTGTCCTGTACTTTTTATTTTACCTTTTTAAACTTTATTTTATTTTATTCTGTTTTTATTATTTTTAGTTTCCTTCTCTTTGCCTCTGTCTCTGTCTCTGTCTCTGTCTGTCTGTCTCTCTCTCTATCTCAATCTCTTTATCTATCTATCTATCTATCTATCTGTCTGTCTATCTATCTATCTATCTATTTATCTATCTATCTATCTATCTATCTCGTTCCTTTTCAACTTTCGGTGACTTTTTAATTATTTTTTATCTATTTATCTATTTATTATTATTATTATTATCATTATTATAATTATCATTATCATTGTTATGATTGTTATTATTATTACTATTATCATTATTATAATAATTATCATTGTTGTTGTTGTTGCTGTCATTATTATAATTATCATTATTATTATTATTATTATTATTATTATTATTATTATTATTTGATCTCTCTCTCTTTCTCTCTCTCTCTCTCTCTCTTTTTCTCCCCAGCTTCCGGTGAGCTTCGTCAACAACGGCAAACCCCATCGCGTCCAGCACTGGAACCTCCCGCTCATCAATGCCCACAGATCACGCCCATTCCGCCCACACCCGCACCTACGCCTCCGCCCACGACCGGACACACCCACTTCGCCCGCAATAACACCACCTTCGACAACAAGAACAAAAATAACAGAAAGACCACAATTTCAGCAACCACAACCAACACAGCCACAACCACCACAGCCACCACAGCCACAACAACAACAACCACAACCACCACAGCCACAACAACAACCACAACAACAACCACAACCACCACAACAACCACAACAACCACCACCACCACAGCCTCAACCACAACAACCACAACCACAACTACCACAACCACAACTTTTCTCCACAACAACAACAACAACAATGCCCCCCCACCCCCCCATGGCCAAA